TTTTGTCCTCCCTGCAACCTCTGGTTCCTCCTGGCTCAAGGGGAACCGGGTCTCTTTCCCTAAGGTTGGGGGAACCGCAGGCCCCACACCTTTCCAGGTACCCCTAGCGCTGGGGCTGTTCCGGAAGATGTCACCGGCGGGCCACCCATGGGCCTCCGCCAGCTCCTCAAGGGCTTGGGTGCCTGGGAACAAGCAATACACACTTTAGAGCCAGTTTGGAGAGAAGAGAAGGGGCCCAGGTGCCTGGGAACTTCAGCCCACTGTGGATCTCCATTTCTTTGGGGGACCACCAAAACGTATAAGGGGACCCCTCTGGAATGGCCACCCAGCTCTGGCGGCTTCACATTTCCAAGACTGGCTCACAGAGAGCGGAGCACACAATAGTCTCCCTCCCTCCCTCCCTCCCATCAGGCCCGCAATGCATGGAGCTTACCTTTCCTAGCCTCCAACCCCTGCTCAGGGTTGGACAGCCGAAGTCCCTGCCGCCCACCGTTCGGTGCAGTGTGGTGGGGCAAACCTTTTCCCTAAACGCCTCATAAGCTGCTCAGGCCTCGCTGGAAGCCCAGCCGTCAGGTCAGTATGCCTTTTACTGCTCAGCTCGATTGCACACCATAAACCCGACCTCACAATGGAATTGCCCCGGAAATTCTCCCCTAAATTATAGAGTTTGGTTCCCTGTGTACAAAGCACTTCCCATCAGTTTCAGAGAGTCCAGGCCGCCCCCCGTTCACTGCACCCTCTCAGGGGGTCCCAGGGGCACAAAAGGCAACAAGAGGGTTCAGACCCGGATGCAACGGAGCTCCAGCTCCGGCCTAATGGACTGCCCAGGGGAGTGGGTGGGGAAGCAGGGGCTGTCCCGGCAGGTGGGCGCCTGCTGGTTTCCCCTGGGGGTACAGGGGCTGTAGGAGGCGGGGTGGGGTGGGGGGCGCAATATCCGGGGATGCCCTTTTTGAAGCATCAGGATGATGGCGTGTCTCGATTGGGGAATGGAGGATGTATCATGGGAAGGGAAGAAACACCAAATATTCCAAATAGCATCGCTTTCTGGCAGGAAATAAAAACGTAAGAAAGTTAAAGGAAGACGAAGCAAGCAAAGAGATCAAAGAGGCGGAATTAGACAGCTTTAGACCAATAAATTGTTCCCCGGGTGACACAGAGCAAGATGCAAAGAGAAAGACCCGGCCCCGCCGCCGCCGCCGCCGTCTGTCTAGACTCTGGGCGGCTGGAGCGGCAGACAGCGATGGCGTTTGGAGTGAAACCTGCCCTGAAGCGAGACGACCCAGTCCGAGTGGGGAGAGACTTCGGGGAGCGCGGGGAGGAACGCGCTCCCAGCCAAGAGGGCGTGGAGCGCGCGCCACAGGCTGGTCCCTGCCCAGGTTGTGTCCGGCGCAGGTCCAAACGGTCCTGGCAGGACACGCTGCGCCTCCGCTTGGGCCAAGGAGAATCCAGATACTGCCGGCAAGGCCTTGGCCTTCCTGGGCCCCAGTCAGCCAACTGGGCCGAGTCCCGCGGGTGCCGAATTTTTTCTTTCGTTTCTGGGCTTCTGTCTCCCCTCCTGCCTTCTGGCGCAGGGTTTTAAAACGAAAAGGCCAAAGTCAGGCTTTCAGTAAGCGCCCCTTAATCGCGTGTTCTCGAGCCATTGGTTTCCTACTTATTTGGCTGAAAAGACACAAACGCCCTGGGTTATCTGTGATAATAGTCGCAGAAATACTCGTTGACGCCTGGCCTGGAGCAGGCACGCGTAGGTGGGTTTCTAATCAGCCGAGCTGTCTTTACAGAAAGGCATCCCCCACCCCCCCTTCTGGAGCTGGGATCCTTCCTACCAGACAGAATGTATTTCTCTCGCTTCTTGTTGCCAAATAGTCCTCAATATTTAAATCCAGCTAAGAATGGAAGGCCAGCCCTGGGGTTGCGAAGGGAGCCTGTCTGGTGTTTGGCGACGTAGGTCCCTGAACGCTTCCACCCGCGCCCCTCGCGTGAGCGGCGCATCGGTTCTCCATCCACCGGACGGTCGCGGGTCGCGGCGCGGGGACAGATGCACCCCCGACGCGTGCAGACGAGCTGGGGCTGCGGCGGGAAGCGCTTCCCAGGCGCCACGCGGGAGAGCTGGATCCCAGCCCCTGCTCGGCCAAGGGCAAGAAAGGCCCTGCGCGGCAGTCCATGAGGCCTCTGAGGTCTCACCCGGCCCGCACCTACCTGGGGCCTCCATACTCGGTGGAGAGAAGCGGTGGCACCGATCTGCTCCTTCGCCATTTATCTGTAGTTACATACATCGAGCTTTGTATCTGCAGCTTGGATACACGACCACGGGCGGCTCTCGGGGAAGCTATAAAACCCTTCTTACAATCGGATGCTGTGAAATATTGTGTATCAGACGAGGAAATATAACGAGGGCGTGTGTCTGCAATACCAACGTGTGTATATAAATGGAGAAACAGGGAGGAGAGGGGCAGAAGGGAGGGAGGAAGAGAGAAGCAGAGAGAGAAACGCTCAGGAGATCTGTCAGCCAAAATCCAGTCCCCAGTTTTACAACGTGTGCAGCGCGGAGATGCGGGTTGTAAACATTTTGTGGGCTTGGCCAAGACTGTTACAACCCAAATAAATACACCGCGTGGCGGGTTCACAGGACTCCGGGGTGCTTCGAAGTGTTCTCTGTTTGCTTTGCATTTTCCCTCTGAAACCATTCTGCACGGGGGGGGGGCGGGGGGCGGCTGATCCTCGCACCCGCACTCGTGGCGCCTCCTGGAAGGTTCCGGGGCGTGTTCCCCACCCAGGGTCCGGGATAGGCTGGGCCTAGATTGGGGTCCCCTCCCTCCTCGTCGTCTCCTGAGCAGGGGGAACTAGAGTAGCTTAAGCAGCTCCACTGCCAAGAAAATCCGGTGGCGAGAGAAAGCAAGGGTAGCTTTCACGACGTGAGCTCCCGTTCTGGAGCTGGATATGTTATTATAGTTATTTTAAAGATTGCATTTATGTTAGAACAACCAAAACAGTTCCTGGTGTGCTTGTTCCCAGGGACTCCCCATCCCGCACAACTCAGCCACCAAACCCACACTAGAAAGTCACCAAGAGTGTCTTTCCCCCCATATGCAGCCGCCTAATTTTATTGTCACTGATGCAAGGCGGCCAGGTCCTGGGGTCCTGGCTCTCCCGCGGGTGCTGGCTCACAGGGCTTGGTGCCGGGGCGCAGCGTGAGCGGGCCTCCCCGGCCGCCCGCGCAGGGCCCTCGGCCAAAGTAGGCGCCCCCTGCACACGCTGGGGGGAGGGGGTCACCGAGTCCCGGGGCTGTAGGCCTTAGTCCTTGTGAACGTCCGCTGGTCAGTCAGGTTCTCCGAGCGCTGCGCTGCCCCAAGGGTTGTCCCGGGCTGGGGACGATGACCCTAGAACCACCCCCGCGCCTGGAGCGACAGCCCCGCAGCTGCCGGACGGCTGCGGCCACGCAGCGATAGGCCTCCGGGATCCGGGAAAGGAACGGGGGCGGGGACGGTGCAGGTCCGGCGAGCCCCACCGCCTTCTTGTTTCCCAGCGAGGTTTCCGGCCCGGCGTGAGCAGCACAGAAAATATACGACCGCAGTTCATTCAAATCTAGGGCTCCCGTTCGGGAAAGGCTAGCGTCAAGTCGACATCTTAGGAACTTCCCAGGGTTGCGGCGGCGGGAGATGGCGGCGCGGACGCCTCTTGCGTGGAGCCATACTGCCATCTGCTGGCGGAATCTGGGCACTGCAGCCCCGGCAGCGCCGCCTGAACTTCGTCAGCGGGAGCCGCGGGCCGGGCACCCCATCCCGAAGCTGCGCGAGGGCCCTGTCCCTGGGGAGCGTGCGTGGAGCCCGGAATCTACGCTGCCGAGAGGGCAGTGCCCATAAAAAAGCTGTTTCCGCAGCCGCTTTATCGGCTGCAGACAGAGCAAACAAATGAAAGGGCTTTGGTGGAAAATCTTAATTGGGGCTGGACAGTTGTAAACTCATTAAGGGCCGAATTCCAGACAGTTCGCAGACCCGGCCTTTATGGCACACCCTCAACTGCCCATTCTTTGAAGTTCCTTCTGTCTGCAACAACAGAGGGTGTCCCAACCTGGCGGCGGGGTGGGGGCTGGGGGTGTGAGGGGAAGCCGCATCCCCCGGCGCCCTGGTTCCCCCTTTAAGCGTCAGGACACAGATAACTTTCCAGAAGTCTCGGGGTGGTGGGGGGAGGGCGGTGAGAGCGAGAAAAGAAAAGGGGGGGAGACTAGGGTGAACCCTCTGACCACATCTACAAGGCGCTTGGGCCTCCAAAGCTGTAGCCGTTCCCCCCGCAGCCCTTTACACCCCATAAACGGTAACAGCCCTCATTTTCTTTTATGGCGCTTCAGGCTCGTCGGCTGCCTAGGCCCTGCCTCTGTCAGGACTTGTGCTCGGGAGGGGAGCGCAGTACAGGACCCAGAACCGCCCCCCGCCAGTTTGACAGGATGCGGAGGTGCGGGGGCACAAGCCTTGGGTCCCCTGAGAGCCCCCACACGTCCGTCCTGGCGGCCGCGTCGGGGCAGTCGGGCTTCGGTTTCCCCGCTCGGAGACGCCGCAGGAGGCAGGCGCTTCAGCTCTCGGTCCTGCTCTCCCGTTCTCTGCAATGCCAGAGGAAGGCCCCGAGGGTCTCAGTGGACCACGGCTGGGGAAATTTCTTGGGGTCCCCGGAGCAAAGAGTGACCTTTCTCTGCTACTGGACAATGATACCTGGGACCGCAGCCCAGCTCCTCAGAGGCCTCTGGGCCTCCCAGCGAATGGGACAGGTCAAAGCCGGGAGCTGGGCCTCGCCTCCCCTTGTTTCCCAGCCTTCCTCGGTTGCTCGCGCCGCCGGGCAGCCGGCCCCAGTGGGAGCCCAGCCCCGCAGGTTCCCGCTCCAAAAGCCGGCCAGAGGTAAAACCGGGGTCTGTCCTCCTCCACCCCAGTTCGGCCGGGCCCCCACCCAGAGACTCTACCCACGCTCCCCTGTCCCAGAGAAGAAGGTGCAAAGAGCTGACCCGCAATACATAGAAAAGAATCAATATATTTTATTTGGCAAAAAGTTAAATATCTCAACACAACAATTTGGTCAGTAGGCCTTGAGGTAACTATTGCAAAATATACAGTGTATGTTCAGCCCGATGGAGACCCCAGGTTCAACAAGGATACAAATCTACAGTAGCCCAATGGCGGTTCCATAGTGTATAATTTATTATCAATAAAGTTAACTCCATTACAATAAGCATTCATTTTTCCCCCCGATTAAAATTAAATGTAAACCATAGGTAGTAACCTTCTGCACATATGTATAGCTCCGAATTTCCTCCAATATTCATCCGGTGCAAAAACAATATTCAAGCTTGTCTGATTAATTTTTCTTTCATATGTGGATTATATATACAATGGATAAGACAGGTCGATAGCGCATGTAGAGACTAGAATGCCCGCATTTCAAAAGAGGAGAAAACCCATGAATCTATGCATCCTGGAGAACCGTTTCTTTCTTTCTTTCAAAATTTTATTTCACTGGGAAATCCTCACAGCTAGCTTACGATCAAAGATTAACAGCGAAGTTATACAGAAGACATAATCCACTACCGAGAGCTATACTCTATGCAACTGTTTTTCTCCCTCATTCAACAACCTGAGTTGAAATTGAATTTTCTAGCTTTCACAATCACTACGGGTGCGTCACCCAGCACAGAAGTTTGAGTCACAAAACATAATTACCACAATAAAACACAGTGTTCAAGTATCCGGGCAGATCGCTCCGCCGCACAAAGAGCAAATTAAATTAACTACACAGACTAAAAACTATACAGCTCGCCATCAACAGTTGTGCATTACAAAAAGGTAGTTATTTTTTGTTTGTCTGAAGTCAGGAACAGGTAGATTTTTAAAAATATATATACAAGCTAGCACACACAGCCGTCAGCACTAATGTCCCTCACCTTTGTTTTTTGTGGTGTTTTTTTTTTCTTCATCTTATAGAAAATGGAAAGCTTACAATACCTCCTCCATCAAAGCGGCGGGCCGAGGAGCCAGCCTGAGCAGGGTTTGCCGGGGGGGAGAGGAGGCCTGGAGTTTAGAGCCGCTTTGTGCGCTTTGGGGGGCGGGGGCTGGTGTGGACCGGGGGTGGGAGAAGGGGATGGACGGGCAGTCCTTTCTCTTTCTCTCTAGCTCGCGCTCTCTTCTCCAAAGGAACTCCAGTCGAATCACTCGTCTTTCGCTCGGTCCTTGTTGATTTTCTTCATTTTCATCCTGCGGTTCTGGAACCAGATCTTGACCTGCCTCTCGGTGAGGTTGAGCAGCCGGGCCACCTCGTACCTGCGGTCCCTGGTGAGGTACATGTTGAACAGAAACTCCTTCTCCAGCTCCAGCGTCTGGTGCTTGGTGTAGGGACAGCGCTTCTTGCGCGTGGAGCGTGCGTGGAGCCAGTTGGCGGCCGGGTTGCCTGCGAGGGAAAGAGACGTGGGATTTAGGAGGAGGGCAAGGACCTGCTCCCCCCCCCCCTCCGCTGGGGGCCAGGAAACCTCCTAGCGGCTCCCGCCAAAGTGCAGGGCGCTGCTGAATTGGTCAGGGGAGGCTGCCGGACCTCGGACACAATGGAACGGTGGCAGACAGACAGAGGAACGGTCACTTACAATTGCACGCAGTAAAACCTCAGCTTCCCCCTCCCTCCAGAGGCCCTCTTTTCTCCTCTGTCCTCCGTCCTTTCCTCTCCTTCTTCCCACCCTCTGCGCTTAGGACAAAGAGGGATTTTTGGAAACAGATCTTCTCGCCAGGCGGGGGGAAGCCACGCTGCCCTGTGTTTGTCCAGCGTTAATACTCCCCTCTCCCTCTCGCTATCACGCGCGCGCGCTCTCGCTCTCTAGCCTCCCTTCTCCGCCTTTCGTCTACCTTCCCCACTCCTTCCCCGACCTCCCCGGAAGGCCGCGGGAGCCGGGCAGTCGGCAGGGCGCCCCTAGGCGCCCCAAGGGCGTTGACCACTTCTCCACTTTATTTGAATAATCTGGCATGGGGACCCTCGTGGCCCGGTCGCCTACAGCCTCATCTTGGGCAGGATTTACGCCGCCACTGGCTGAAGGCAAGAAGTGGAAGGAATCGGTCGTCTTCTCCAGTGTGTGGGCTGCAGTCGCTGCCGCCGCCCCAGGACATCGAGCCGCACAAAAGATTCTCTCTGCAGAGCTGCTTTCGAAGAACGGCCCAAAGTATTGCTGTCCTGGTATCGGGCAGCCAGGAAGAGGGGCGGCTGGTCGTGGCGCGGCAGGCAGCGCCCGCCCCGCCCCCTCTCTGGGCGGCAGCCGCCTCCCCTCCCCCCCTGAACCCGGCGACCAGCTTGTCACTGCTCCCTGGACTTGGGGCCCCATCCGAGGCGTCTTAAACAGCAACTTCTGGTTCGGCCCCTGCTCAAGAGGCTCCCAGCGCAGGCGAAGGCAGGCTCTAGAGAAAGCTGAAGGGCTGGCAGATCCTGGTGGCCGGCGTGGAGGCGGCGGCCGGTCTGAAGGGAGGAGACACTTACTGGGATCGATGGGGGGCTTGTCTCCGCCGCTCTCATTCTCAGCATTGTTTTCGGAGAAGGCGACTTCACTGGGCTGTTTTTCTCTATCAACTGGAGGAGAACCACAAGCATAGTCAGTCAGGGACAAAGTGTGAGTGTCAAGCGTGGGACAGTCACCCCTTCTGGCGGACAGTGGTTCAGGTTTAATGCCGTAAGGCCGGCTGGAGGGCAAGCCCGCGAAGGAGAGCGCGCCGGGCGTGGGCTCCAGCCAGGAGCGCATGTACCTGCCGTCCGGCGCCGCCGCCGCCACGGGCGCCTGGGGGTGCACGTAGGGGTGGTGGTGGTGGTGGTGATACACCGCGGCGGGCACCGCGTTGGCGCCCGCCGCGTGCACCGGGTTCCACGAGGCGCCGAACACCGCCGCCTTGGACTGGAAGCTGCACGGGCTGAAGTCGGGGTGCTCCGCCAGCGCGGTCGCCTGCCGGGGAGGCTGACCCAGGGCCCCGGGCGCGTAGCGGCCCGCGCCCAGCTCGTCCGCAGCGTCGGCGCCCAGTAGGAACGAGTCCACGTAGTAGTTGCCCAGGGCCCCGGTGGTGGCCATCGCTGCGTCCCGCGCCTGGCCGGTCGGCCCGACCCGCGGAAATTATGAAACTGCAGATTTCATGTAACAACTTGGTGGCACCAGGGGGGGGGGGGGGAAGTACAGTCACCTAATAAGTTGCCGGCGCCTGCGCCCCCATTGGCCGCGCGCGTCACGTGCCCGCCCGGCAGAACAATAACGCGTAAATCACTCCGCACGCTATTAATGGCCTGGTGTTTTGCAGTCATAATTTTTATAGCAAAAGCCATATGTTTTTATGCAAAGGGATCGCGGCGCTCCACGATCGGGTTTGTTTTAATTGTGGCCAACGAAGATTAAAAGATCAAATCCGGCCTTGCCTCTGTACTCGCCTCCCCTCCCACCGCCACCACCAGACACACACTTCTTAAGCGGACTATTTTATATCACAATTAATCACGCCATCAGCGAGGCGCGGGTCCCGCGTGCGAGTGCGGCCGGTGGAGCCCCTCACATAAAATTAGACAATAATTGAAGCCATAAAAAAGCAGCCAAATCGCATTCTCGCTCTACTGTATTTGAATCTATATTTATGATATTTCATAAGGAGTTATTGTTCCAGAAGCCACACCGGCTGGTGGGAAGTTGGGAACGACCGACAGATTCGTTTGCTTCGCCGTGGCTCCCAGCTGTAAAAATTTACGAGGACTTGGAAAGGTTAAATTAGACGGTTGTGTTTGGTTGGCGAGCTCCCTGTAAATAATCCCTGCAGTCCCCGGAGATGCGAGTTTACCCTGCGCCGGCCGCGAAAAGTCAAATTCAACGCAGTATCCGTCCCAACTGAGCCGCCGCCGCCCCTGCCCTCGCGCGTTGGGCAGGGACAGGCCTCTGAGGGGCACCGCCTATTGTGGGGGCCTGAAATCGGCCCGATTGGATCTCAGGGCGCTCGGGCAGCTCCCAAATTCGCCGCCGCGCCTCAAGCGGGAGCCCCAGCGTGGAGCGGCCCGCGGTCCCCAGGCCAAGGGTTGGAGGGCCTGGCTGTGCCGGGGGTTCGCTCCCAACCCCGCGCCCGCGCGCCCTGCCTGAGGTCAGCCGGGAATCGCGATCCCCAGGCAGACACAGCAGGCGGCCCAACACTGCGCCCCGACCTCAAAGGCCCTCGCGCTGAGCTCTTCAGGCTTTTGTCGCACTCCCCAAACCCGAGCTGCGAAAAAAAACACGAGGCGGCCTCAGTGGAAGGAGAGATCGGCTTTGGAGAAGGTAGTGCCGCCGACGAGACCGCGCGGCTCCAGGGCGGCTGGCCTCGGGGCCCAGGATGAACCCTTCTGGGCTCCTTCCTTCCTTGCTTTCTTCTTTCCTTCCTCGCTGCTTTTCCTTCCTCCCTTCTTCCCTTCTTTCCTTCCTCCCTGGCCACTGCCCGGGTCCCTCCACCTCCCCCCCACCTCGGTTTCCACTAGGCCAGGCCGGACGACTCTGCAGAGTTACAAGGCCCCAAGCGAGGCAGGCGACCGCAGCTCAAGTCCAGGGCTAGAATTTAGAACGGGGAGGGGCACGGGGCATTGACTTTAATCCCATCCTTTAGCTCGGCCAAATTGAGGAAGGTATTTCTCACCCCTTAGAGTCTCGAAGGGGTAAATTAAAAGGCCTCAGCCTCTGTCAGTTGGAAGAAAGTACCCACCCCCAAATCTGAACGGAAAGCAGCGACTCCTAAAAACGGGGTAATTAAATTCACGTGTGAACATTGTGCCTGCAAGAGTGTGTTTCTCATTAGCCCACTTCCCTGGCGGCGAGGGCGGGCGGCGCGGGCGCTTCCATCTCTTTTTCTGCCTTCATTCTCCCCAACAGTTTCAGTAACCCTCCCCCAAACCCTGATCCATCGCTGTCCCTGACGGACCCTCAAATGCCAGGCTCTGCCCCAGGGCCAGGCTGTGAAGCCGGGAGGAGACCAACTGGGTGCCCCTTTATCCGCCCCCGCGCCGGAAGAGGGAAGTGGGGGACACAGTGAACTCAGACGGGGCTGGTCCTGGTCACCTCAGACTCCTCCCCCCTAATATTTTCCTTTCCTTGTAAATTCCTCCGCGTTATCCCCACCCCCACCGCGGCCCGGTGTGTCCCAAATAATCTGGCAATTCGCGGTGCCTCTGAGATTTTCATTAAGACATATTAACCCTGGAAGAAACCTCGCTCCTAATTGTAATTGTCTGCGAACAGGCTGGACTTGCCTTGTTGTCTTTGGACTTTTGTGCCCAGAGAAGACACGAATTATTAGTAGTATCTTTTAAAATAAAAAGGCCTTCCTTTAAGTGGCTTTAGCCCCCAGAATAGGACACTTACTACATAATTAGTAGGCGCCGAGTGTTAAGCAGTCCTAATTTGTGCCTAGAAGGGGAGAAAAATTACCGGGGGGAAAAAAAAACCTAATATGATCCCTACTCAGCCCAGAGATTTGGGGAAAAAATATTCAGCCTTTTGAGTCAGCTTTTATTTTGGAAATGAAAGGGACCGCGTGTGCATTAAAAAATAATAATAAATGGGTATAATTACAAACCGTCTCTTTTTGCCTGAGAGTTCTAAAACCTTAGCCTCCAAAACAAATCCAATACTCTGGTTCGGAAAATGGCACAGAGGAGTTGAGGGGAATGCGGTGTGCCGGCCTTTCAGATAACAGCACCACAGGCAGAGCGATGGAAACAGCTTCCGCAGCTGGAGCGGGGAAGGGAAGCACCGCTGGTGGGCATGAGTCTGAAGGCCCGCGCGCGCGCGCGCGCGTGCGTGCGTGTATGTTTGGGAGACAGGAAGGGATGAAAGTGGTTTTCAGTTCGGTAAGGAGAATGGTTCCACTGGCTTCCAGCGATGGACTACAACTTGGAACGAAGGCTCAAGTTTGTTATCACAATGGTTCTGGAATTTAGGATTTCTTTGCTATTATTTGAAACAGACTGGAGCCGGAAGGGTCCCCTTCTCCAGCACCCTTCCGCACAAAGATGCCATATCTAACAGACTCGGAACCTGATAGAAGCCACTGGCAAAAAAGCAACCAATCTTTGCCCTACCGGGGTTCCCTGACGGCGACTGAAGCCTGGGCTGGGACCTGCGGGCCCAGGAGAGCGGAGAAGGCTTCCAGGCGGAATTCCCTGCGCAGCCAGGCTCCACAGAGCTTGGCTGGGCCTCAGCACAGATCCCAGCCTCAGATGCCCAGTTAGGGTGGCGAGGGTCTCCCTGCCCTCGGTGTGGGCGCCCAAAAACGCCGCGAATGCCCTCTAATCGGATCTCTTAGGCTGTGGTTGCCAATCCGCAGAGTAAGAACGCAAGGCCGCCGCCATCCGGTCGTGATCATAACCGAGGCCTTGCCTGTGCAGTGGCACAGCAGGCCCAGATCCACAGCCCTGGCCAGCTGTCCCACGCAAGCCCTTCCTTGGCAGATTCCGACCACAACTTGAGCGCGCGGAGAAAAATAAGACCCCGGCCCCAGACTCTCCCCAAGCCAGCCCTGGGTCCTTCCCGAAGGAAGACATAGAGTGGAGAAGTGGTAGAGAGAGAAAACTGGGCCGAGAGAGACTGAAGATGAAAGAAAAATAAAGGGAAGAAAAGAAGGAAGAAGTAAAAGAAAGGATGAAACAAAAAAAGCAAAAAGAGGAAGGAAGCGGGGAAGAAAAGAAGGAAGAAAGGAGTCAAAGGCGACTCCTGGGAGCCGACGGCTGCTTACAGAAAGAAGGGTAAGTGACAAGGCCGGGATCCCAGTCCCTTTCCGCCCTGTCCCTCCTAGTTTGGCCTGAGTCTTTGTCAAAGGGATCTTTCGCGATCTCTACCCTGGATTGGCACAGGTAGTATCCCAGCCATGCAGAAGAATGGCAGGATCCCTGGCCAGGCACAGGCCTGGAGTGGGGGGGGGGGGGGGGGGGGCCCAGGATGGAAGCGTGCGCCCCTGACCTTGAATGGCTCGAGGCCCAGAATTCCTACCACGCCCCCGGCGTCCGCCGAGGAGCCGCTAACCTGACCATACCTGCTCGGGGCCAGGTGGGTATGGGGTGGGAGGTGAAGCCAGCAGCCTGGCAAAGCGCTGAGAAAGAGGCAGGGACGAGGCTCCTGCACGGGGATGAGCCGAGGTTGCCACCGCAGGCCTGGCACGACCAGGGCCTGGATGCCCCGCCCGGCCCCCGCGCGTACAGGTACCTGGAGACGATTTCAACTGAAGTAATGAAGGCAGTGTCGTGCTGTCGAGAGAAAGGTGGATCCCAACAACAGGAAACTACCTAAATCACCGACCAGTTCTGGTGCTGCCCGCGCGGGGCCGCCTCGCCCGCCGCCGCCGCCGCCGCCGCCGCCGCCAAGGGAGAACCCTGCGATCGCACCCGGCCGACCCCCCCCCCCTTGCCAACCTGCGCCTGCGCTGCCACTGTGTGCGCCGCGCTGCCGCTAAGGCATCACGGAAGGAGAAGCCACCGCCCGGGTAACGTAAACCTGGGACAGGGAAGGAAGGAAGGTAAAGGAGAGAGAGGAAAATGGAAGGAGAGGCGAAAGCGAGAAGAGAGGAGAGCGAGCAATGTGCGTGCTGGTTTCCCAAATCTTGCGTCTCAGCGAGCACGCGCCGAGCTGCGGCAGCCCCGGGGCAACTCGAAAGCGCCAGGGTCGGCACACAGCCCGGCTCCCAGTCTGGTCTCGGCCTCCGGCTCGCTCCCCGCCGCCCGCTCTCCCCCTCTCTCCCTCCCCGCCAGCCAGCCAGCCGGGGCGCGCGCTCCCGCGCCCCCTCCCCCTGCGGTCGCCCCCCCCCACCTCCCGCGAGCAGGAAACGCGTGGCCCCGCGGAGGGCGACCAGGTGGGGGAGGCCGTGCTGGGGGAGGGGGCCATGCAGCCGGCAGCAGTCTACCTAACTGCTGCCGCGGACGCTGGTGACGCGCTCTTGGCCCAGCCTGCTCTCCGGATTCTTAGGCTGGGGGTCATCTAAGACCAGGGGACCCACAAAACAACCGGCGTCTGCGAGCCTCCCTGGGGCTCCCGAAAGAAATCCTGTTTGGCTTCCTCTGTCTATGCAGCTCCCCTCTCAACTGAAACCACT